CACTTGTAAAACGCTACGAATTAATTCCAACACCTAATATTTAACTGTTTTATGATTTTTATTAAATTTGCGTTCATTTATCGACATGTATACATTGAGGATGACCTGACAAATAAGTAACGCATGTGTTCGAAACGTATGTGTTCTTAAGAATCTAAATATACGAAAAAGTTTTGGTTCTTAGCCCTCCTGTTATTTATTTTTGTTTATTATTATTGAGCCATTATAAGTTTATTTTTATTTACTATTAATTGGGTTGGATATTTAGATTTTATTCGAGAAGCACATTTTCGCCTTTTTTAAAAAATTTAATTTTAAAGACCTACGAGTCAATCACGAAGGCATAGAAACTAAAGCTTTGGGTCTTACATGGGATTGCTCATCGGATTGGTTCAAATTTTCTAGCATCGGTTTTTCATTATTAGAAAAACCCACTAAAATAAACATTTTGGTGCAATTTAGCATTAATTTTTGATCTCTTGGTTTGTTAGGCCCAGTAATAGCTAAAATATTGATTCAGGAACTCTGAAAATTCAAATTGGATTGGGAATCTATTCTATTAAGTTGCAATACAAAATGGAAGTGAATTCGAATTGCAGGACTTGAAAGATATAAGCATACAGCAAGATTCATCATATTAACTATGCAGCACGCACGTTTGGAGCTACACGGCTTTTCGGACGCGAGTGAATATGAAGATTGTATTTACTTGCGAACAACCTCAACCAATGGAAAGCACTCAGTAAACTTGCTATATGCCAAATTTAGAGTAGCATCCCTAAAAAGCATGTCGCTACCTCGACTAGAGCTATGCGCAGCTTTGTTATTGGCACAGTTGATGCACAAATTCTTAAGCTGCTTGTCCTGCAGGATACATGCAATTTGACTGTGAACGGACTCTACTATTTTAGCATGGCTTCAGTCCTGTTGTCGCTCATGAACGCCATTTGTAGCTAATCGAATAGGGAAAATCTAGCAACTAACGCCAGTTTAATATTGGCATCACGTAGTCAGCACAATCCTACGAATTTCCTATCTATGGGTGTTATGCCTAAAGCTTTAACAACTTTGAAGATCTGATAAGCAGGACCGTCCTGGTTAATTCAGAACAGGGAAAGTTGATCACAAAATTCACTCAATGTCAGTCTCGAGAATGTACCGGAAAGAAAAGCCAAGACCATCGCATCAACTGCAACAACTAGCCAAAATTTTGACATATTCACACGATACTCTAGATTAACTAAGCTCATCCGAGTTGTCGCTTATATCATTAGGTGGTTCTCAAAAAATGCGAGAAAGGCAAGAAACGTGGTTAAAGGCCCGCAAGTATCTTCTAAAAATATCATGGACATGATTGAGCCCATTACGCCTGAAGAGTAAGCTCAGGTAATTTTCTTGAAACTTATACAGGGTACTTTGCTAAAGAGCTGAAATCGCTAGCCAAACTGGATTTTGCAAAAAGAGTCGCATATTAAAACTAAGTCCATTCGTAGATGAAGCGGAAGTCTTGAGAGTAAGAGGGCGTTTTAAGGCATCAAATCTATCTTTTGCTGCAAAAGGAGTCGCCTATTAAAACTAAGCTCATTTGTGAATGAAGCGGGAGTCTTAAGGCATCAAGTCAATTCTTTGCTGCAAAATATCCTATATTGCTTCCAGATTATCATCCATTTTTCCAATTAATTGTAAGGTATAAACATGAAAGGCATCCCCACGCCGACGCACAGGCCACTCTTGCTGCGATCATCAGGGATATTGGCTTATTTTGGCGCGGGACGTAATTCGACAAATAGTCCGTGATCTGTTTTCGAAGCGCCCCAAATCCTACTTTCACCATCATAGACAATTTACCATCATCGAGAGTAAAGATACCGGCCAGAGCATTTGACGAGTGCGGTATTGATTATGCAGATTCATTCTATAAAAAAGGAGACCGAAGAAATACCAAGTTAATAAAATGTTGCATAGCAATCTTTGTGTGTATGATCACTAAAGTAAACATATCAAGGTGGTTGTTGACTTATCCTCGGAAACATTCTTAAACACGTTCAAACATTTTATAGTCAGAAGGAGCTATTCATTGGAAATATTCTCAGACAATGATCTCAACTTCGTGGGAGCCGAATGTGAGTTAAAAGAATTGACAGAGCTCTTCCAAAATCAAGAAAAAGAATGCAATCAAGCATGCAACAGTAAGGGAATCAGGTGGCACTTCATCCCACCCAGAGTTCCACATTAAAAGGGGGGGTTATAGGAAGAGCAGTGAAGGCGGTTTCTCCTATAACAACCAATTTTATGAACAAACTTCAGGAGCGACAATGGGCTTTCCTATTTCTCCTGTAATTGCCAACGTCTTCATAAAGCATTTTGAGAAAAAAACCCTCAGAAAGATACCCAAAAAACCAGAAGTTTGGTTCCGTTATGTAAATAACACATTCGTGATATGAAGACACGGTAGAGCCGAACTCTGTAAATTCCTTATTTTTCCTCAACAATCAATCATCTAAAAATTCACTTCACTATAGACATAGAGGAAAATGGAAAACTCCCCTTCCTAGATGTTCTTGTCTCTAAGAAAGCTGACAGTACCTTAGGCCATCAAGTGTACAGAAAATCAACACAGGTAGATACCTACATGCCGAGTCGCACCAACCAGCACAAAAGCAATCTCCAATCAATTCACTTGTACATAGAGCTTTCACCATCGCTGACAAAAAACATCTACAGATAGAACTCAATCATCTAAAACTAGCCTTACAGAAAAACGGACACGACAAAAAAGACATAATCAAAATAATCAGTAAACACGCAAACAAGACAATGATCTCTAACACACAATCTGACAAAAGGATCCTATCCATTCTCCCATATATCAAAGGAACAATAAAGATTGTTAGGATATTAAACAAATACAATATCCGAACTATCTTTAAATTAACAAAAAGATAGAACAAATCTTAAGAAATCCTAAAGATCAAAGACCTCCACTCAGCTCCGTAGGAGTATATGAAATATCTTGTTTCTGCGGACAAGTATACATTGGAGAAACCGGAAGAATGGTCAACCTACGGATAAAAGAACACCAATGTGATGTGTCAGGCTAAAACACGCCACGCAGTCAGCATTATCAGAAACACAACAGGACATCAAATATTGTTGTCAAATTTGATAAAACGACCACAATAGCCAACATTACATCATGTCTTCCAAGAAAGTATAAAGAAGTTATACAGATACAAAAACACCCTAACAATTTAAATAGAGATAATAGTTACAACATAAATATAGAAAAAATTCTCCTGGTTATTGAAGACCAATTTCCTCCACTTCTCACACACAATTCTCTTCTTTCCTCTCACTACTCCAACAAATATCGTAATATAAAAAGAACCGTCCAGAGGAATACTCAGTATCAGGCTGCTCCTCGCCCTGATGAAATGGACTGCAAGGTTCACGAAAATTTACCTCTTTAAATCAAATTGCAAAATTTTGGAACACTTTTTACATTTTTATGAGCGATTTAAACATTTACGAATTATTTAAATTTTTAAAATTTTTAAACCAATAAACTTTTTTAAATAATTGTAACATTGCTTACATAATTTTGATATTTATTAAATCTTTTTAATGTTTTTAAACAATTTGATTTTTTAAAATAATTTTGAAACTTTTAAAACAAAAGTACAATTGGTGTATTTTAAATAATTTTTAATTAATCAGTTAAATTAAATGCAAAAAGTAATGGAAAACATGCTATGACATAGCCAAGTGTCTGAAATACTTCGCGCCACTCTCAGTTGTGTCGATCCTGGCAGCGCGAATTTCACGCGCCCCCCCATTCGTCAACTTTAATATCACCATTCAAATTTTATTTAACGGATCGCTTTTTCATACAGAACTTTTCGTCTTAGTACATTTCACGGAAAATACGTTGGTTGCTGGCGATACGCGAATTCTGAGACACCTTTATATATAAACACCATTAAAAAATCACTAACACAGTTTCCACACAATATCATTATTCAAATACACAAAGTTTTTTACAGTTAAGATAGAACATAAGTCACGATCAAAATGACATTAAACTGAATCATGATTGATCAAAAAATGACTTTTAGTAAGCATTTTAGTCATTTTAACGTCACTTTTATATCATGATGATTTTTTTATTCTGTTTAGGATGTTTTTTTAAATTTATTGCATGCAATAGATTTTAGAAATATTTCTGTTGAAACATTCCATGTGACATATTGCAAAATTATTTCCGAATTGTTCCGAATGAAGGATTAAAATCTTTCTGAAAATTTATCGCAACAAGTGTTATATAGGAATAAAATTTTATTAGAATCGTTTAATTTGAAATCATACTCATTAATCTATTTCTATTTATCATTAGAGATGAAAAAGGGTGGTGACTTATACAATAACATTCTATACATTAATGACATCAGTATAAATTTCTAAGTATCATGTAAATATACTTACCGGATTTTAGACAATTTTAAAATACACAAATGATAGCAGTAAGGTCATATTTTTATATTTATTGAAACAGTTATCTATAGATACTTTAATTCATCTATCAAAGAATGAGTTATAAACAAGTTATATTCTCTGACTAAAGTTATTTGCATTTCCGAAACAAAATCTATGAGATTTTGTTGTCTGTTGAGCATTATTGTAAACAATAAATTTTTAGAATTTAGGTCAACTTTAACTCATTTTATAGCAATATATAATGGTAACGAGTTATTTAAAAAAAAATGGTAACGGATTATTTTTCTAAAGTACTACTACTTTACTAACACCTTGTGTTACTCCATATCTTAATACTTTTTAATAAATTTTACTACCTATTTAAAATACATTTTTTGTTTACTAAATTGTTACTTATATGAAGTATAAAAATCATCAATTTGTCATATAAAACTTATAAGTTTGATATATACTTTCCGTTTTATAATATGCAGCTACTTAAACTTTTTTTTAAAAAATAAACTTACCTCGAGTTTTCGCCATCTGTGTATGTTTAATGGAGTTTGAATTTCCTCTTCAAGTGCAGTGACTTTAAGCATTTCTTTTGTTAGGTTACGATTTAGATAAAAAACTTCTTGACGCAAATCGCTAACGTTGAAGATATTTTTTGCTAGTAACATTTTCTCAGTTCTAAGTTTATTCACTTCGAACTTGAGTAATCGAATATCTTCTAACCTTTGATTGTATTGCTTCTCGCCACATTGTAATGTTCTATTCAAGACCTATGGCATATAAACATTCATATATATACATTTCAAACAAAAATGCTATCTTCAGATGTGGTAAATAATATTGCAGTTTATATGTTTCAAGTCCGGCAAACCGAACCGACACATATTTTATAGAAACTAATAATTGTATTAGTATATATTTACATTTGAATATTACTAAATAACAATAGCAACACTTCGTACAAAAACGGCATTCTCTTCATATATATAATATATTCTATTCAAGATCTGACATAAGTATATATGTAGGTATATGTGTTTCAGAAAAAAATCCTATCTAATTTGTATGTAGAAAATTCAAAGAAATCATGTCACTAGATAAAAACTTTTTAAGAAACGTTTGAAATTGCTTATCTTCATACTATTATGTCTGTTGAACTCGAACACAGCTTAAAATTATTCCAATTACAAGGAATTGTAAGAACACAATTTTTTTTGCACAAAAACCCCTTTTTATAGCAAACATTTTATAATGAATAAATAGTGAAAACTGTGAAATCTGTGAGAACTGTGAAAAAAAGAAGTTTCGATAATTATTTGTTACAGAGGACTTAACCCCAATGTCCTTGACTATGATATTTGTCGTCAAAGCTACAAATCCTGAATAATTTTGCCTTAACAATTAAATAACAATGTCTTGTAATTTTTGAGATACTTAAGAATTAAAGTATAACTTTAGTATTATGCGGCGGATGCCCCTAGGCAGGCAGGGAGTGGATCTCGCTTCATGTAAAAGGTCGTGCATCTCTAGGCAGGGAGGGAGAAGCTAGATCGTTTCGTGTGGAAAGTCATGTTCTTTTAGACAGGGGGAAAGCAGGATAAACCTCGTTTCGCATGGAAGATCAGATACCTCTAAGCAGAGTGGAAGGTTGGTTAGACCTCGCTTCGCCGGGCTTCGCGTGGAAAGTCGGATGTTCCTAGGCAGCTGGAAGAGATGATGTAGACTTCCCTTTGCGTGGAAAGACCTACGCTCCGTGGCAAAGGAGAAGATGGGGTGGACGTTGTTTCGCGTAGAAGAAGTATAAACGCTGATACTATTATAAAATTGCACTCTCAAAAAAATATCTCAAAAATTATAAGAGACCGCCACTTAATTATTAAGGCAAAGTTACAACATATGTAAAGATCAAAATCATCGGAGAGTATACATAATTATCAAAGTCTTTATTAACAAAAGAAGTTTTCTTTTTCTGTAAAAAAGAGAGGAAGAGAGAAAGTGATAGAAAGAGATGTTGCTTTGCAAGTACTTCGCGCCACGCAGTACTACGAAATAATCGGCCCACTTGCTAGACTATTTCCTCCAATCCCTACTACATGCTTTTGACATATTATTCTGCAATCTGACAGTTCGGTGAATTATTAAGCAAAGTTCTCCTACTTCAAATATCCAATCTTCAATTTCAATTATTATTAGTCGGAGTCATCTAGATATCATTATTTTCAAATACAAAAAGTTCAAATTACATATGATACATTTGCATTCATAGAACGACCTATGATAATATAACCTATAATTCTTTATTTTAGGCGTTTAAATCCAATTGGATTTATTTAATTGCGGTTTGGGAAATGTTTTTATAAATAAACTCTTTAAATCTGAATCAGTGGATAATCACCGATATTAGTGCCAAGTATGCCACTGGTAATCAGTGAATTAAATGTGAAATTCCTAAAATAGCTAATCTTTATTATGTGATCTAATTAACCTTGTTTTAGCGCTTAAATTAAATGAATATGATATTAGAAAATTGAAATTAAAATGCAAATATCAGTATTTTAGTTATATAATGCTTAAAGATTCTTCCTTTTTTAGTTGAACTTCACTGATTATTAGTGCTAAGTATGCCACTGGGTAATTAGTGACTATTCACTGATTCAGATTTAGAAAGAAAGTTTGATTTGAAATTAGTTCCAATTGCATTATCTGGTTGAATCGCAATTAATATAAATGCAGTCCTTAAACTATTAAATAAAGAAGTGTTCGAATATAACTTATATTAAAACTGATATTTTTATCAGGTATGGTACTCGCTTATTGCGTCGAGTGGCTGCTCAATGCGATTGACTTGCGACTTATAGATACGGATTCAATTCCATCTGCGCTCACATACGTGATTTTATTCGTTTAAATAGCCAAACTCTAGGCTCTACTTGATGATTAAGGCACCTTTGATTGCCAATGTCGTTCGAATTCGTCATTAAACTATAGATCCCATATATCACGTCTGTTAAGCTAGCACCAAAAAATTAAAATGGCACATATGTCAGAATTAAGTGTTCTTTATATTCTAATTATATGTCTAGTGCCAATTTTTGTGCTTAAACGGTTTAGTAGAAAATGGCAATCGAAAGTGGGGGTGCTGACTTAACATTAAGCAACTTCTTCATTAAATTACATACAGGATCAAAAAATTAGTACAATTAAATGCTTTTTATATGCTTTTAAAATAATAAATCAAAATTAATATAACTGTGACGTTTTAAAAAAGATACGCCAATAAAATTTCATACATATAACGTCCATACAACAATAAAACATTAAAATATAGCGAATTGGTTATAGGCTCAAATTGTTCTTCCACTTTTATGCTTTCAAAATATGCATAACAAAATTTCGGTACTCATTTTTATCGGTAAATCACTTCGAAGTGATCACCCATTTAAGACTAAAGTACTAGTTATAACACAGACAGCGAATTAATTGCTTAAAATGTTCATCTATTTATGTGCTCTCCAAATGTGCATAACGAAATTTTGGTAAATCTCTTTCGATGTGACCTGCTAATTACATTAGTTCCCATGTACTTCGTTTAAAGACTAATTATTAGGTGTACAAATAAGTTTTAAAGCGTTTTTTGTGTAACGTATAATTTAAACTTAGAATTCAAATATTTTCGCGCTCTTTTGATATGTAGTGGCGCTTAATGTGTACTATTAAAAAACATAATTGACTTCACAAAATTGGAAACTTAACCTCAAAATTAAATGGTTTTAAAATGGCGAGCGACAAGCAATTTATTCGACACTGCATTCGATACGAATTTCATCAAGGAAAAAGCGCTGCTAAAGCATGTGAATCAATTTGTTCTGTTCTTGGAATCAATGTTGTATCCAAAAGTACGTGTGAGTTTTGGTTTGGGCGATTTAAAGAGAATGATTTTGATGTTAGCGATAGAGAACGTAGTAGTGCTCCTCAGAAGGTTACCAGCAATGAATTGCAAGCATTACTCGATCAAAACTCATGTCAAACACAAAACGAACTTGCACAGCAACTTGGAGTAACTCAACAAGATATTTCAATTCGTTTATGGCAGATGGGAAAGATTCTGAAGGAAGGAAAGTGGGTGCCGCATGCATTAAATGAAAAAAACAAAAATGATCGTCTTGAGAAGTGTTTGAATAAACAGCATAGAAAATCTTTCTTGTGGAAAATCGCGACTGGTGATGAAAAGTGGATTTTTTACGATAATCCTAAAAAAAGAAAACATTATGTGGATCCAGGACATCGCGAACGCGAGATACAGATTACTAAAGCCATCTATTGGAAAAATAATGGATTCCTTTTTACTACACCTAATATTATTATCGTAATATTATTTTCTTTAATTGATCTTCTCTATGTGTAAAATATAGTAAAAAATTATTTGTAATTTCAATGGTTAAATAATTAGTTTATATTGATAAATTTATAAATTATCATAATTTTATTATTATCAAGTATTAATTAAAAAATGTAATTCGGTCTTCAAATAAATTCCGAAATGGCTGAACTTAATTTATCGAAATATAAGCGTTATGGGCGAACTGCCCTATAATAATAAAATTTTTTAATTTATTTATATTTATTTATTAATCAAATTCAAAACTTCATGAAAATTCAAACAGAAGAAAACGTTACATTATTTTTCTTTGTATGGCGTATTGTTTCATCTTAGCCTATTTTGTCTGTTATTACACTCATTGACAGTTTTGCAGTTCCTTTTAACGAAATTTTTGAAGAAAGTGTAAAAATGGCCAATATTTTAGAACTAGGTTTTATGAAAACGACTCAACTTTTTTCGATCTCATTCCTAGATAGCAAGATATATCATTTTATCATCATTTCGACGTCAAATGACGTCGTTTGATGTCAGCTTGCTACTAGGATTTCGACAATTGTAAAATATATATCATCTAATCATAAAAATCTTCTCAGAATTTTTCAGAAAATAAATTTCTAAATAATTTTATAACTTTTTAGAAAATTTTATAATTTTTTATACAAATTGAAATATTTTTTAGAAATGTCGAAAAAGTTTATATCTTTTTTTCTAGTAATTCTTTGTGTGTGTATATATATATATATGTATATATATATATATATATATATATAAGAAGATGCGGTAGTGTCTCCGCCCATGTTAAAAAAAAAAGTGAAAGACATAAACTAAAAGACACTACAAGTCTCTTATCCCCATCAAAGTCCATTTTTGAGGAGTACAGAACTACTAAAATATAAAAAATTTTGAATCGCACGTAACATATCCTAAAAGGCGGCATCGCCACGAGTAATTTGAGCCAAAAGAAATAAAAATCCATCAAGTCGTTCTGGAATCTCATAGCAGTCGAAAAGTAATGATTTTCGTGAAAAATGAAGTAACATCTTTTTCTTCTCCTCCTACTTCTTCTCCTTCTCCTTCTCTTTCTCCTCCTTCTCCTTCTCCTTTTTCATCTTCTCTTTCTTCTCCTTCTTTTTCTCCTTCTTTTCCTTCTCTTCCTTCTTCTTCTTTTTCTCCTTCTTTTCTTTCTCCTTTTTCTTCTTCTTCTCCTTCCTTTTTCTTCTTCTCCTCCTTCTCCTTTTTCTCCTTCTTCTCCTTCTTCTTTTTTTTTTCTTCTTTTTCTCTGTCCGCAGTCATGTGCACCTCTCTTTTATCTCATCTTTCACTTAAATCTCCCTCAACTTCGATCAACTCCCTTCCCCCTGCCCTCCACATCACCCACCTCCATCACCC